CGAACGCTGAGCAATCCTTCTGCCCCCACACATGGGAGCAGTTGCAGCGTTGGCCCTTCGAGTGCTCTTTCCGACATGTAGGGTCCAGGCCAAGTTGGGGGCAATTGCAATGCCGAAAGGCGTCTTTGCGGCGCTGCTTGCTGCTGCCGATCTTTTTTGTACGGGTGGAGGCGCAGTGTGTGCCGAGAGGCACAAGTCACCTTGATTGAATTACAGTCAGCTTTTTGGTCGCGCTTTCAATCCAAAGTGTGAATGGGCGTGAACGAAACACCCGATTTCCATTGCACCCACATTGCCACGTTGGTCTTTGACCGGCGTGGAAACATCCTGGCCGCTTGGCCCGGCGCTGGCAATTTGTTTGGGATTTCTGGGCAACTCTCCCAAGCCAAAGCTTTCAAAAGCTTAGGAGATATCAAAGATTGGGACGACAAGATTCCGACTCGCTCAAACGCATGCCGCCAACTCTTGCTCACGACAATGGCATCAATCGCATCATTGACAATTTTGAACCAGGTTTGGAGCGAAACTTGGCCATCATCAGTTGCGCTCTTCCTCTCTAGCCAACCCTCTTGCATCTTGGCACGGAATTGCCTGAAAACATGGCTGTCCAGCGGTTGCAACACCCCTGTCATGCCTGCTGGCACCAGAATGATCCGCACCCTCTTTTTTCATAGCCAATTTCAACACGCTTGGGTGGAGGTGGCACGAAGCCATGTCGAGCACTAGATAAACTTCTCGCTCCTGCATCACTTCACCAAGACAATCGCAAAGAAGCGCAATATACCTTCTCATCAGGGCGCGATTGTTCCAGGAGCTGTTCTCTCTCCACGCATAGATGTTCGGGCCAAGCTCTCCTTCCACTTCCACCAGCACACGCTTTGGGAAACAATTAGCATTTCCCAAGAGAATTTGGGGGAGACATTTGTTGAAGGCTGGATCGCTGCAGATCGAAGCCATATAAGTGACATTCCCTCTTCGATGGCTCAGGCGTGCTCGGTCACCGGGCATCACACGCTTGAATGGCTTTGTGGACAATACAGTTCCCACCACGCCACTCAAATGAAAGGCCAAGCTGGCTTCGTCCATGTTGATGACAAGAGGCAACTTGTCAGCGCTCGAGAAGGCTCCGTTCACCCATCGAAAGAAAGCAACGGCCTCCCAAATTTCGGCTAAACGCGGCCCCCCTTTCCAGTCTTAAAACTGACCCCCGAATCTGGGAACATTTCACATCCTTCCTTTTGTTTTTGTCTTTGATACGAATATGTTCCCACTTTCTGGGGTCAGAAATGATCCCTCAAAATGGGGACAGTTGCCCCGCCAAATTTACAAAAAAAAATTAGAAAAAACAGCGTCCTTGGCGTGATTTTCCTTGCCTTCTCCTGCATCTCATGCAAAGGCGTGAAAGGTAAGCTGCGCAACGTTCCCAATCGAGCTCCCCAGGCTTTCCGAAAACTCTGCAACCACTTGCGCTGCTTGCGTGGAGGGCCTTCTAATCTGCTTCGCAATTTCGCTTGCAAGGCTGGAGGGAAGTCTGAGGGCACCACTGAAAGAGCGTAGCGGACCATTTGGAGCCGGGAGGGGGCCACACCACACTTGCAGTTCTGTTCGCATAGCCACTGGTACAGGAGGAAGTGGACAATGAAAAGGCCAGCTGACATTAGCATGCACACGCTCCGCTTTTCAAGACATGCATCACTCATCAGCTCAACGATCCGAGGCGTAGGCTCTGCAATGTAAGCCCGCTCAACCAAGCAACGCATATCTTCTAGGTTGCACTGCTCCGCCTTGACGTTGGAGGAGAACGCCAGGAACTCGGCAGCCACATCCAAATCATGCCCACTGAAAACATACACCATGATTGCCAAACTAGCTGTCCTCGCAGACAGAAGACCCCGCTGCACATCGTCACGGCCGCGCTGGGCCCTGTGCAGCTGGCGCTGTACCAAGCGAATGCGACGAGACAAATCAACGATGTCGCCCTCCATGCTGCGCAACACTTCTGGCGCGCAACTTTGTGGGAGACTCCGTATTGGGTCAAGTGGCGAGCCTATAGGGCCTAGTGGGGGGTCAATGCTGGTTGCATGCGATTGAGTGCGGCTGTGGCATGTATGAGATGAGTGGCATGCGTGGAGACGGAATGACAATCTGCGCATTGCCAGCTGCAGGGCCACAAGAGCTGCTATTATACAACATGTTCCACTTTTGAAATTGTAATCTCACCACCAATTCCACCGTCGACAGGGGAGGCCTGTCCTAGCGACACCTCTCCGGCCTCCACTTTTGG